GAGATAAAAAATTTTTTAGCAAAACGTGTTTAAAAATGTACCATTTTGTACGAACTGCCGAATCTAGCCAATTTTCAAGTTATTTTTTAGCAAATCAAAATTCATTTTTGGGAAAATATTTTCAACGGGCTTCCGTAAGGGGGGGTACTGTAACAAGTCATTCCTATCACTTGTTTTATGTTAAATGTTAGTGATAGATCATGTCGATGTATTTCGATGAAAACAAATTTTAAGAAGGTCAAGTGTTTTGTTGGTATATTACATATAGGTGAATGCCCCGTATGACCTGATATGGGTCAACAGACTATCGAACACACCTTCCATAATGCACTAGATTTGGCATTATCAAAAAATAGTGAACAGTTTTATTCCTAAGTGCTTTGAAATCATGTAACCGGCATGGAAACGTTAATTATTTCATTAACCCAGGGGGGGGGATCAGGTATCGAGGAGGACAAAACTAAAATTATAGATCAACATTTTTCATATGTAAAAACATTTTATTTTTGTCCAAGTGTGAAGTTTCATCCATTTTTTTAAATGGAAATCATGTTAGCGTAGATGCAAACGAGGTCGGAATCGGAATATTTTTAAATAAAAAAAATCATGAATTTCCAGTGAGAAGAAATGACAATTTCTGAGTTCACTTTTTATGGAAGCTGTAGACAAAACACAGGGGATAGACTTAGAGGCGTATTTTTTAATTTAGCCACAGAACTGTAGCTCTCCGAAAAATATATTGATAGATCTGTGAAATATTTTTTTGGGAGAGCTCGTTCTGCGGCTATTTTTATTTAGGACTGTCAACGAATATTCGGTACTCGACTATCGTTCTATCATACCCACTACCGATTTTATTTTTTTTACTCGATCATTCGTTAAAAATGTTTTACTTCATATTAATGTAAAATTCAAGGCTATAAAATTGGATCCACTTAAGGGGGTGTAAAGAAAAAAATAATGACCCCCATAGAATAATAATGAAAAAAAATTTTCTTTCCATGGTAAAAAAAATGGTAGAAAAGAGCACCAGGTTCGTATGCATAAGAAGTTTTTAAGCATATACTTAAAATTGTAAGAACATTCTTAGAAATGCATACAAATCCGGGGGCCTTTACTGTGACCTGGGTTTATACGGTTTCATCCGAAAGACAGTCTACCGTCCCCTGTGGGTTTCGAACCAAAACTTGTAGAAGTTTATTATAAAATAGAATAAATTTATTATTCTAAATAAAGCCCCCTTTTTAGTAGAACATAACATAAAAGAACTTTTTTGAAAGATTCAAAGAATTAAAGTTTGTTACCAAAATGCCCCCATTTACCTTTGATACAATGATATGTGACTGTGTTCTGTTATTCTGTTCCCTAAAAAAAAAATCAAGCCACATGATGTAGCTTTCTCCATTTTTTTCAATCTATTTTTTTTTATTTTGGAGATGGGGGAGGGGGGAGGATGTGCTACATTATTAAGCTAATTTTGGGGGTTCGCATACATGCACGCGTATTTTTATTATTCTATTTAGAGTGACTCCCCTTTTAATAAGCAGTCGACATTTTAAACAAAGATAATATTTAGAATACCTTGTTTGAAAATGGGTGTTGTATGAATTTATTTTATTAACTATTGACCTGTAAGGTAGAGGTTTAAGAGGAGGTAGGTTACAGTGATTCAAGAAAGGTGAAAGTTTATTTGAATCGAAGAATATAGGCCTAAAATGCAGAATCATCTTCTATCATGTTGACCTGAAAGAACTCGATCAATATAAGCATACCGGTCTGTGGTTTGTCGTAACTCTCTTTGCTGGTGAAAGGGGGGTGTGATGTGGTGTGGGGGATGGGGATAGGGTTCTGATAGACCGCCTTGTTTCATTGGTCCTTCATCGCTTATGACGTTGCAGTTGCTTGGCCTGACGTTGTCTGTTGTAGTTACTGCTCAGTTTTGAAGCACAAGTCAAAGAGACAAGACGTGTTTTCAGTCAAGCGAATATTTTACGAAATTTCTACAATCAAAAGAGCAAGTCAAGTCTCGATCTTAAGAGGGTAATGCCAAGATTTGCCATGTTATTATTATGGGTTACTTTGTAGGAGTCGCTAAACAAGCGATTTACTGTAAAAGCTAGAGGTCCAACGTATTTACCAAGGCTAATAAACACTCTCCTGTCCGATTTGCCTCTTTAAAAATCAATGGAAAATAAATTTATAACTTTAATAAGGGAAGATAACCAAAGTTTAAATGAAATTTGTTATTTTTTTTTGTTCATTCCATTGTTGTTTTTTTTTATCTAATCGACATGTTATGTTTACATCAAGAAATTCCGCGAAATAAACTGATATTCAAATTCCAGGGTTAAAAATCCAGCAACTTTGCAAATATTTTGAAAATAGAGATTTATCCTATCGTTTGATTTTAATCAACAGCTAAGCTATACTTTGTTATAGCTAGAGATTTTCTTTTGGAGAGGTATTTTGCATACACTAAGTTGCAATGTTTGGTTTTGTCAATGACGACGTCATGGTAACCGTTGCCTGAGTGACACTGTGTTGCAAAGGCAGACCGATCAAGGTTTTTTTCCGGAAAGGGGCTGGGGGCTAGATTAAAATAAAAAATTTATAAATAATTTTAAGTTATATACAAATTACTTAAAAACCCTTAACTACTTTACCAAGCGTAAAAATCTGATTAGTGAAAGTGATGTGTGTGAGTTGGGAAAAGGGGGGTTCTGAACACTTTTACGTAGGCCTATACGACTTTTTCCAATTTCTTAACAGTAATCTTCTAGGGAAAGGGGATTCCAGGGTCAATTTGTAATTATTCAGTATGTATATTTAATAATTCCACAAATTTCGTGGAAGGGGTCCAGATCCCCCCCCCCCCCCCCCCAATCTAAATCCTCGCTTGTGTTGTAGTTTATTGTTAAATTTCAAAAGGAACAAAGAGGTCTTCTAAGTTTGAAATGAAATATGAAAAAAAATAAAGAAATATGAACGTGTTTGATAAAGTAATGAAAAACCGGGTATGCACATATATGTATACACATATCTTGATAATATAAATACACATACTTACATAGAACACTAATGCACAATTCTTGATCTTTAAATCTATTTTTTCAGAAGAGAGTGGATGTTTCCTGCCCTGCCCCGGAAGATGCCTCGAGTTTTTACAAAAGGTTGGGACTGGACATTTTGGCCCCGTCCTCTACTTCCGGGCAGACTCAGGAGGTCTCAGTATTTTTAAATTTATGTACATACCTCCCGGTATTACATGTATTGTAAATCTGAAAAGTAAGTTTATTTTGTCAGCGTAAATATTATACGAATGGAGAGACGTTGATTAGATTGCATAAATTATGTATAAATTAAACATGTAATTAAAGTAGCATATATTGTAGCATATATTGCTATCTTTTAAAAATAGTAAACAGAGAAGAGACTTTATGGAATTTTCATTTATTTTCCCAAAGATTACTGTAAATAAACATTATTAATATAAATTATTTTATCCCTTTACAGGCTGGGCCGCCTAAGAAGCGTCCTGTTCAGCAGGCGAGCCACACAGCTCCCCTGACCACCACGCCCACTCAAAGACACGACAAAGTGGGAGAACAGTGGGTCAGTTAGAAATATTTTTGTTGGTTTTTCATTCTTATACCTCAAATAAAATCGTGCATGTTATATGTAATATTTTTGTTGTTAACAAATTTACTGTAATACTGTTGTATTTATTTTAGCATCAGTCTCAGCAGAGAGAAAAGCAGGCACCACAGCAATTCAGACAAAATTATCCTCATGGAAACAGCTACAATAAAAGATCTGCATCTGTGAATACTGCTGCCACATACCGACCGCAATATGCTCCGGTCCATCGTCCTCATGAGCAACAAACTCATTACAGGACAGGCGTGGTACCTAGGAGCAACTCATATCAGCAGCAACATGCGCAACCTACTCGCCCACATGGGTATCAATCTCAGATAAGACCTAACTATGTGAATTGGAACAGCATTCCCCAGCAACATGGAGTGCATCCTACTCATCCACATACAAGGACTGAGTTTATGAGCACAGTTGCTTCTCACAAACCTCAACATGCACAGCAATCTCAACAGAGAGTGCATCCTACTCATCCAAATACTATGAGCACAGCTGCTTCTCACAGGCTTCAACCCGCACAGCAGCCTCAGCAGAGAGTGGTGCGTAAAGAGGTAAATTAATTTACAAAAGTCATGAAAATTTATTAATTTATGGAAATCTCTTACTCAGATGGAATTTTCTCTTTTGTTATCAAAGAGTTTGACGATTTTATTATACTGTAATTAATTTCAGCCTCAGGTGAAGCCGATCAACAGGTACGCCCCTCCAGATTACCTGACACTAATGTATCACCCCACTCCCACACTGGAGGACCTGGGGCTAACCAGTTATATGGACAGTCCTCCCTCATCACCCAGAACTAGGTCACCAGCTCGGGAGGAAAAAACGGCGGATTGTCAACCAGAGCGAGAGTCGGCAAGGAGGGTCTTACCAGCATGGGACGCACCAACAAACGACTTTTTTGACCAAGAATCCAAGACAACTAACTCAAAAGCTAGAGAGTTCAGGACGGCTGTGTCAGCTCACAAGCAGTCCCCAAAGACTGACACTGTATCAGAGGCTAAAACCTCTACACTGAATGTGACCAATCAAATGAGTGAAAGACACTAGGCAAATGTGACCAATCAGAGGAGTGAGAGACACCAGGCAAATGTGACCAATCAAGTGAGTGAAAGACACCAGGCAAATGTGACCAATCAAATGAGTGAGAGACACCAGGCAAATGTGACCAATCAGAGGAGTGAGAGACACCAGGCGGCCTCACACACTCAGATGGTGAGTACTTTTAATTGATGGCTTGAAGTATACAATGACATGTAAGATTAAATGTCCCAAAAAATTATTAACATTAAGATTTAAATTTCATTTGTTTATAAATGCCCTGTGTGTGGTTTTTTTTCAACTCATGAAAGTTATTCTATCATGAATGTTTTACCATAAAAATCTTTTGTTGTTAAACATGTTAAAGGAGAAGAAATATTAAGATATTTTTTTAGATGATTAGTAGGAATATCATTAAATTGAATAGATAAATAAATAATTTATTATTTATTTTTTTATGTAGAATAAACATCTGGCAACAAATGTTGAACCTCAAAGATATGTCCCAAGCTTTGCCCCAAAAGACTGGGACCCAACTACCAAGTCATATAAGTCCTTACAAGGACCTGCATAAACGAACTGTCAATTAATGTTACGTCTAGACCTGCCACATTCACTACACCATCAGAAAGTCAGTCAGCAGGCCCTGATGTTAAACCAACAAATAACAAAAGACCAGGGGCTTTGGGTTTTATATTGGCTGAGAATCCGGAGAAACGGGCATGTAATTGGGTAAGAGGGATTTTAGTCTTAATTTTCAAGAATTAGCTAAATGCTTCTTTTTAGCTCACCTGAGCCGAAGGCTCAAGTAACTTTTTATCAAATTTTGTCCGTCTTCCGTCCGTTGTCTGTTTTAATTTCCGACTCGCTTTTTCCCTTTTTAAATTTTTTCTCAAGAACCAATGGGCCAATTTTTTAAACCCAAAATTGATACACAGCATCCTTGGGGGAAAAAGGGGAAATTTTTAAAATTTTTAAAATGAAGGGCCTAGTCCACTCACAAGGGGAGATAATAAGAAAAGACAAAAATAAGGGGTGGGGGGGCACTAAAAAATCTTCTTCTTAAGAACCACTGGGCCAGGAAAGCTGAAACTGATGTGGAAGCTCCCCTTTGGAGGTTTTAAGAAAAACCGTTCACCAAAGTAATTCTGAAAGGGTCTGGCACACATAAATTCAGATTTTCTTCAAACTTGGCATATAGCATCTTCCTAGGGTAAAACTTTATATATGACATAATTTTTTTCTGGACATCCTCTGTTACCATGGTAACCTGGGATACATAATTTCTGACATATAGGGATAATTTGTTCATTGTCCTTGCCTTGTACGCCTCCCAATCCTCTTGCCAATGCGTGGTATAGTCAATCATACACCATCAGTGATTATTTGTTGAAATTTGGCAAACAGTACATTATTTGTTTAATTTTTGTTTGCAAGTACGGTATTCATTTTTGATGCCCATTATATACATTTTCTCAGTGAAATCCACCTGCTCAATTGTCAATAAAACAAACATTGATTGCAGTAAATTTTTACATATTTCAGTGAGTATTTCTTTGGGATTCTTAACAAATTTTACAGCAGCTTTAATGGACGGTTTAATTTTACTTCAGTTTACTGATTCTTTACAATTCATTTTTAATGCAGTGTCTCGAATACCCTTGTTTTCCAGCTTCTCACAATTAAACTATGTGATGAAAAGTAGTCACATCAATTGTTATAAATTCAAGCTTAGTATTGTATGTCATACAGTTCAGGACATTATTTAGTAGGGGGACAAGAGGTCACATTATATTGTACATCATTAAAAACTAATGATAACACTATTTTGAACGACGATGAAGAAACTGGAAGACACTTTAAATTTTACATCAATAAGAAGACCAGAGGTCATCTTATAATATTATATTGTAAGTCAACAGGGAGACCAGAAGACACCTAATATTTTACATAAATATTGAGACCAAAGGACTCCTTATTTGGTCACCCAAATCAACGCATGTGACTTATTGTTATCAGGTTTTTTTCTGCCGTCGCATTGTGCGTTAATATTTGAACATTTTCAGCTTTTCTCTGTAATCCCTCAACCATTTACAACCAATTTTGGCATAAAGCATCTATGGGTGAAAGGGAATTTTTTTTTAATTCATGGTCCCTGCCCTCCACCCCCTAAGGCAAGAATGTTTGGGCGTAATTACTACAATTGATGAAATCTTTAAAAATCTTCTTTACTCATTAACATCAAGCCGTCGAACTGTTGGCATAATTATTATAAGCATTGACTCCATACCAAAATTGTGAAATTCATTGTCCCAGGGTCAGGGGCCCTGGGGTTAGGACAGGGCTATAAAATTTATATTAATTTATAATCTCTCTCACTTCGTCTGTCCGAATATAAATTAATTATACTTTTTATTCTGTATTGAAAGAATAATCAACTCATATGTATGGAATGCTGCTCGTCAGAACGTTTATTACAAATTTAACACATTTGTATTCATTTCAACACACGTTATTTTTAATCATTAAATAATACTTATATACATACATATATATGTGTGTGTGCCTAATTTACTGGTTTCCATTCCTTACACGTTCTGTACGAGCGGTAGAGTAACTTTTTAAGCACGCACCTGCTATTTATATGACCATGTCACGTGACATAAAAACCACACAGATCCACCATTCTGTTCACACAGGAAATACCCATAACGACAATAATAATAATTATGAAATGCATTTATTCTTTGAAAATATTTCCCTCTGCCCCTGGATATTAAACAAACTAACTACATGCAAAGTTGTGATGAGGAAGGGTATTCTCTCCAAAGTTTTGAAATTCGTGACCCAAAGGTCAGGGGTTCCGGTGTTACGCTGGGGCTATATAAACTGTAAAGTTTATATTCATTAAAGAGGCTGAGGGGTGGCAGCCATTTTCAGACTATTTTGATCTCCTTTAAAAGAAGAGCTCCATATAAAGATATACAAAAATGATCAAATTTTAAAAACTAAAATGTATGAATTTTTTCTTTGCCAAATGATAGTTGACAGCTTATGATACCGTATCTAAAAAAATAAGTTAAAACTGATGGTTAATTTGTGGTTAATTTGTTGTCCCCCAGCCTCCTTAATTCTTTAAAAAAAATCTTCCTCTCTGCTCCTGGATATTAATTAAACTAACTACATATAGTTATGATAAGCAAGGGAGTGTCTTCCAGAATTATAAATTTCAAGGCCCCTGGCTCATGGGTACCATGTCATTTGTAGACAATACTGTAATTGAATTAATGCTTTGAAATTTGTTCTTTGGTATAAACCAATTTTTTTTTATGAACAATGGTCCTTTTTTTCAAAATTGTGAAATGTATGACCTCAGGATGAGGGTTTTTGTGGTCAATGAGCACTACTAATTATTGCTAATTATTACCGCTTATTTGAAATGAAAGTTTTAAAGTTTTACAAGATGTTCAAATGACCTATAAGATCCATAGGCCTCTTGTCGTGTTCTTAAGTGAACGTCTAGCATCTCGTTAATATGCATTTTATCTGTACCCACTGGTCCGCCCTTGTTTTCTTTTTAGGTGTCTGTTGGTTAAGACGAGTCTAGAATCGTTGATGCTTTATCTCTCTGCATTCATATAATATTTTTTATGTCTGATTTCTTTAAAAATGTACAACAAAGGGGACCACTGGTCTCCTTATTTATGTACAATACAAGGTGACCTCTGGTCCCCCTTGTGATGTAAAATATAGAGTGACCTAAGGTCCTCATAATGATCTACAACATAGGGTGACCTCTGACCCCCTATTGATGTATAAGGTGACCTCCGTTTCCCCTTATGATGTACAATATAATCTGACGTCTGCTTTTGTACAGTATAAGGTGACCTATGGTCCCCTTTCTGTTGTACAATATAAAGATGACCATAAGTCTCCATAATGAAATAACATATAAGGTGACCTTTGGTCAACTTATTGTTGTACAATATTAGTTTACTTCTGGTCCACCCAGTAACGAACGTTAAAACTGAACTGAAGGCTCTGTCTCCCTACTGATGTACAATAAAAGGTGACCTCTGGTCCCCCTACTGTTATCTCCTACTGATGTACAATATAAGGTGTCCTTTCGTCCTCCTAATGTTGTACAATATAAGGTAACCCCTGGCCCCCTACTGTTGTACTATATAAGGTGACCCCTGGTCCCCCTACTGATGTTCCCTACTTATGTATAAATATGAGGTGACCTCTGTTCCCCCTACTGATGTACATAAAAGGTGTCCTATGGTCCCACTACTGATGTACAATGTAAGGAATTAAGAAACCCCTGGTCCCTCTACTGATGAATAATATAAGGTGTCCTCTGGTCCCCCTACTGATGTCCCCAACTTATGAACAATATAAGATGTACCCTGGTCACCCTGCTGTTGTACAATATAAGAAGTCCTATGGTCCCCCTACTGATGTACAATATAAGATGACCCTGGTCCCCCTACTCATGTATAATTTAATGTGTCCTCTGGTCCCCTACTGATGTACAATATAAGGTGACCCCTGGTCCCCCTACTCATGTGTAATATAAGATGTCCCCAGGTTCCCCAACTGATGTACAATATAAGGTCAACAACTGATGTACAATATGTCCCCTGGTCCCCCAACTGATATACAGTATAATATTAGGTGTCCTCTGGTCCCCCCCCAATATAAGGTGTCCTCTAGTCCCCCTACTGATGTACAATATCAGGTTACCCCTAGTCCCCCTACCAATGTACGATATATGGTGTCCTCTGGTCCCCCTACTGATGTACATATCTACAATATAAGGTACCTCTGGTCCCCCTATTGATATACAATATAAGGTAACCTCTAGTCCCCCTACTGATGTACAATATAAGGTGCCCTCTGGTCCCCCTACTGATGAACAATATAAGGGGACATCTGGTCTCCTTATTGATGTATAATATAAGGTAACCTCTGGTCCCCCTACTGATGTACAATATAAGGTGACCTCTGGTCCCCCTACTGATGTACAATATAAGGTGACCTCTAGTCCCCCTACTGATGTACAATATAAGGTGACCTCTGGTCCCCCTACCAATGTACGATATATGGTGTCCTCTGGTCCCCCTACTGATATACAATATAAGATGATCTCTGGTCCACCTACTGATATACAATATAAGGTGACCCTCCCCTTACTCTATGTCCAAGTGTGATGTGTGTCCTCTGGTCCCCCTACTGATGTACAATATAAGGTGCCCCTGGTCCCCTTACTGATGTATTATATAAGGTGACCCCTGGTCGGTCCCCCTACTGATGTCCCCTCTGGTCCCCCTACTGATGTACAATATAAGGTGACCTCTGGTCCCCCTACTGATGTACATAATATAAGGGTGTCCTCTGGTCCCCCTACTGATGTACAATATAAGGTGTCCTCTGGTCCCCCTACTGATGTACAATATAAAATAACCTAGGTAGCTCTGGTCCCCCCACTGATGTAAAGTGCAATTTATGGTGTCCTCTGGTCCCCCTACTGATGTACAATATAAGGTGACCTCTGGTCCCCCTACTGATATACA